GTATTTTCGCTTTCGCAACGAAACACACAGTGTCTTCACAACATGGCAGCGGCAGCAGCGTCAACAATACTACAGCGAGAATCAAAGTTACGCCTTCTTTCTTTGCGTGAACATTTGGGCGGCGTTATGCAAATCTTCCCACATAGTGATGTAGATATGTGGGGGCGTGTTAGAACGAGCCGTTTTAGGTAGGTGTGGCTGACTCTTAACTTTTATAAAGAATATCTCTTTGGATTTGAGACTTTAGTCTTTGCAACTTTAGGGATCTTATCTATTCACGAACAGCTTGTAACTCTCCAAAGAGAAAGGAACACTTGAAATCGCATCATATGACCCCTTTAAGAGTACTTTATTCATTTGAAACAAATGCTGTTTTTTATACAATTATCAACATTTTAATACTTTAGATTTAGATTTACTGTAGCTACAATACATGTTGATGCATAAGCACAGAACACTCAAGAAAATTTTGAAGTTTTATGAATTATGGGGAAAGTTAATTTAAGCAACCCCTGTCATGGAAATGTCTAATGAGTCAGTTTCTGCAATTACTGCATACTGTGTCATCAATATTCAGTTAATCTCTATATTACAAACGGTCATGTTTCAAATCCTGAACAGATAACCTGGTGTTGATCGCAAGACTACAGGGTTTTTTCTAAATGTACTGTCTGAATGTGATATAGCTGTTCCCCCAAAAAATATAGTCTGTGTAAAAACAAATGTAATGAAACAGGACTATGGCCCTGCAAATCCAAACTTTATAGCTCATAAAATTGTGTGCATGTTTTCTGAGACATCTATTGTCTAATAATCTGGTAATTTGTGCATGAATCAAAGGGCGTAATCATTTTCAAAGCTCTGAAACTGCCTCAGAATAATTCAAGGGAAATCATACGTCCACCCTTTGAATACGCCCATGAAGAAAGTACAGTGCTCTCTGACTCCCGTGCTCGTGATTTGCCGTGAATCAGAGCTGAGCAGTTTATGGGGTGCATTGGTGGGTGTGGGTTTTCTGTGGCAGCTGATGAGACACAGCTCTATTAGTTTACAGACCGAATGTTCCCATGACTCAAGAAACACTACCATCTCAGCAAAGAGGGTGGAGACAGCGCTCCCTGGATGGACAGGTTCTGAAGGTGCCTGCAGGTGTCTGTCACACCCAGAGCTCAACCTCATGGGTGTTCAATTACCGAAATATGGTTGTATTCATCAGTAGCTAAAGATGCACGTTTCAGCAATACATGCAATCCACAGGAACTGCTGATAGGTCACAGATGACAACGAGCACTCCAGCGTTCTGCGCATTTGTCTTTTCAGTTAAATTAGGGGTGGTAGCACGTTCTCACCTGGATTAATTGCTTCTGCTTGTATTCATTGTTTTGAAAGCGACTGTGAAATGTTGTTTCTGTGTGACAATCACTTGACGTGATACCACTTCAGTATGTTTGACTGGTTCAATAATTTTTCTCTATTTATTAATCTCGTTTGGTATTTTCATTTATCAGTCAACCCTGCTGAAAAACAACAACAATAATAGAAACCAACACAGAAATTCTAATGGTCTCCATTAATACAAATCATCAACTTTTAACCATTAAAACCATTAAAAATGGTTTCCTGTATGTGTTTTGGGACATATTCCATTAGGATTTATTGGTTTTAACAAGCCACCAATAGAAGGCGACCAATTACCAGTAAAGAACAACAGTCACCATTACAGTTTCCAGTAAA